CCGTGACAGTGGCTTCTGCCTGAAGACCTACAGTATATATTCTCGTTTAATTCAAACAATAACCTTCAGCCATCCCCACCCCGAGGCAGGCCGCCCCAGGGAACATGCTGACCCCGCGCCGTGTGGCGGCCTCACCTGAATTCTGCTGTGCAGTTATTCTGAGAACCCATAAAGTGATCAATGCTATTTTTGAATTTTATTTTCAAAAGTCTTAAAGGCATTCAGATCCCTGTTTAGAGAAAACCTTGTTTGGTCTTTCTTTGAGGACAGCCATCCCTCCCGCAGACTGTACTGGCACAAATGGCCCAGGGATGGTCAGAACGCAGACACATCTCCAAGACAACAGGGAGCTGTCTGATGGTAAACTTGGGACGGGGTGAGAAGGTGCATTTGACACGTTTGCCCTCTAGTGTTGAAACTATTCAATCTCCCAGCGTCTTAACAGTTATGAACTGATACCTCTAATTCTGGGAGCATTTTCATCCGCTGAGGTATTGTAACTTAACCTCACAGAGGACAAAAGGAGCTCACAGAAGTAAGTTTCCCTTGGAAACTTTCTTCTTAAGCTGTTTTTCAGAAACAGAATATTATTTGGTCAATAAGTTTGGAACAAATTGCAATCACGAACTTTAAATCCTGAATGGGGGCCGTGAGGCTAACTGCCTGGGGGCAGGCCGGCTGCAGTGGCAAAAACGGTTAGAATTTAAAATGAACTAAGTGTTAAAGGCCTTGTTGGAAAAGGTTAGTGGCCAGCAGCTCCCTGTCTGGGCACCAGGCATCCCTGCGACGGCACCCCCGCGTGGGATCAAGATCTCACCTCGTTTCAACTCGTCCCGAGTTCTTTACAGTCCTTAAAATGGATTTTTGATTGATAATTTTTGCCTTTTGCCACAGAAATGGTCACACGGGCCAGTTTTCGTGAAGGGAGCTGCTGTTGCGCACAAACGGGGCTCCTGTGCGCTCATTCCTCACACTCTTCTCAACCCTCCTCCCCCAAATGTTGTTCTAACGGAATTTGAGGAAAACCAGCACATTTTGAAAAACGTTGTCACACCCGTGGGTTTAATAAGGAATTAACCGAGCTGGGCCTGAAAGCATGAAGGGCTCTACCCGAGGCGGCTTCTAGCAATGGCTCAACCTCCCAGGGCTTTTCTAGATGAGCTCGTGGACTCAGAGGGAGGGGACGGGAGGGGACGGGAGGGGACGGGAGGGCCCCCCCCCCCCCCC